TCTTAGAAGAGCTGGCAGAATTAGATATCACTGAAGATATTCTAAGAGAGGAATGGGCTGCTCAACTGGTTGCACAGACTAAGCCAATGCCCCGTCAATCCAAGAATCTGGCAGATAAACTCATTGAAGAGATTATACAATTGAAAGAGGATACAGATTCATGCAATAAAGAGATATACAAGTTTGAGGGTATGATTCAATCTGGGCGGTATGAAGATGGGTGGGATGTCTCTGAAGTTAGAGTGACACTTGCTGAACTCAAAGAGAAATGCAACAAACTAGAGAAAGCCTACAAAAGTAAACGTGGAATGCTTGGAACAGATGGCCGACTCCAGCTTGATCGGTTATTGGGAAACAAATTCTTAAAAGTCCAGATAAATGCCTTGGCCTTAAAAAAGAGGTTGAGAACCAGACTTCAGCAGCGAAAATTTGAACTTGATGGATTGGAAAGAGCTTACCGTAAAACAAATACCAATGGTAGGCTATAAATACTGATATCAGTATTATACCTCACTAATGACATAATGTAGAGAAGAAGCTACTGGACCACTCAGTGTCTCAAATCAAGCGGAAGGAACCTGGTATTCAACAGCTTGCAAAAAAATACAATGAGTTATGTGGAGAGTTGGAGGCTATGATTAAGAAGAAACAAGCACCACGTGGTGCTCGTGCACCTCATCCTATTGCTAGTGATGGATTGTTCAAGCTGGATGTTGATGATGACATATGGCAAGATGTGGGCCTAGATGAGACTGATCTTTTACCTGGAGGAGAAATCCCCAATTGGTTGGGTGATGAAAATGTTCGAAAGGGAATAAAATCCATGCTTGAGTTGGATAGATGTAATGAGGAAGAAAGAAGACTATCATATGAGAGAAGTGCCATGCAAGATTGGCTCATTGAGGAGTGGAAATGTGTAACAATGGCTATGGAGAAGAATGAATTTTTAGCACGCTTATGCAACAACTGGCAAGACAAAACACGTATGATTGATCCTCACAAACCTATGCCAGATTCATGGGGACCATCATTGGAAGATCTTATGGAGGCACATAAGTTTGAAATGACTGCCATGGTTGCTGAGAATGAAAGAGAGATATATGATGATGACAATGAAGAGGAGGAAGATGATGAGGATGATGAGGGTGATGAAGAAGAGGGTGAAGAGACAGAGTTATTGGAGGCTGTTGAGATGGTAGCTTTATCTGATGAGTTTCGAAAAAGCTATACAGACTCATTGTTTTGACTATTGATAGGACAAAAGTGTATGTAAATAGTGATAAGTACTACTTTCAGAAGAGTTATGCATTATAAAGTGTTCAAATATATGATTTTGGATTGTAACTTCAATAAGAAACAAAAGAAAAAAGCAATGTACAAAATGTTGAGAAAGCTGCGCCAGAAAAACCAAGTTTTTTTTTTTGAAACTGGGACCCCAGATACTCCATGACACTGGTAGGAAATATTCTAGCCATGTGACAAGGCGAAAAGATTTTTTAGCAGTGTGACATGCTTGGAGTATATCCAAGTGATGTCACACCACTGAAAAATTTCTAGTCACTCTGGCACACCTCAGACATTTCTGGCCAGTTTGACTTGGCTCAAACATTTCTTACCAGTCTGACACCCTTCAAATATTTCTGACCACTTTCACTTGACTAGGATATTTTTGAACACAATTTAGCTACCCAAATATTTCTGGTCACAATATTAGAGGTCAAACATTTTCTATCAAATCCAATAATATATTTCCTTCCAAAGGCCAAAAAAAAACTGGCCAGAGGATCTATTAGCCTGGATAATTTTTCAAGATTTCCTAGCTAATAGCTTGTTCAAGGTGGGTGACTGAAGTGAAACTGTGGAGAAGATTTTGTAGTAGGCAGCAACCATGGTAAAATTTTCCCTTGCTCTCTACCACCATGGACTCCAAGCAACATTGTGGACAAGATGAACCTCATGTTTGGACAGCTCTTGCTGGAGGATCTTGTGACCCTGAAAAGGGAAAACAGAGGAATTTTTAGGGATCAGTGCTGATCTACTGGCTCAGGCTCCTTGTCAATTGACAGTTCTGAGTTTGACCCATTTATGCAGAGCTTTCAGTTTGATCCTCAAGAACGATCGGGAGCTATACGGCAATACTTTACCCTCCCCAGGTTAGTCCATATGGACTCCATGGAAGGGGGGATGGATTCCAGGAATCCATACTTTTTTTAGATGGATTTCATACAATTTCCAGGCAACTTAGCAAGTGGGCTGGCTGTTTGAAAAGTTGTCAAGTTGGGAATCACACTTCTACACTTATTCATACTAATAACTGCTCAAGAAAAATTGATATATATTGAATAGGACTATGTATATTTATTTTACTACATTAGACATTGAAGGGAGAGGCAGAGGGAGGGGGAAGTGATGGAGAGGTGGTGGGTGTGGTGGAGAGTGAGGAGGGATGAACTCATCGGCTATGCATGGGTTGTAAGGGTTTCGGATGTAGAACAGAATTTTTTGGCACCATTGTGACTAGAGAACTCTCGACCTCTGCTGACTTTCCAACAACCAGGCGACCTCAACTGTCCATTCTGTTTAGTCATCATACCTGGACCTCTCAGTCATGTGTGGTGTCCTTTTGGTGTGAGGGGCGATGGACACTATTGATATTAGTGACTAACACAATCAGTGTACGGTAAGTAAATATATATTTAAGAAGACTTTAATCAATGTAACATTGACTACTGTAATGACCAGTTGAGTGTGTACAACAATATCAAGTGTATGTGTTTTATGATCAGTAACTCACATTGTGATCCAAGTGATGAGGGGGAACACATTGAAACAACTATGTAAGCACTGTAAGATACCAAATCCTCTCCAGCCTTGCCTTGCAATTCCTTCCAGTCGTTCCCAACACAAAAAACTCCAACAATCCAAAGTTCAAGAAGCTCTGAGAGCAGCGGGGAGTGCAGTTGTTAGGGCGGAGAGACCATAAAGCAAAGTGGATGAATTGAAGAGCGCAGCTTGGGGTGCGAGGGACCTGGAAGGGAGAGGTGAAAGGATGGGAGGACAGAGCAAAGAAAGGCACACAAATGCTGCTGTGTCAAGACTGTGAATGCAGCTAAAAGATTACTTATGAGAACAATGATATGGAGGAGGGGGAGGTGGATGATAGTGAAGGGGAATGTGTATCAAGAAGGCATGCCCTACTCTGAGTCTGCTGTAAAAGCAAGCCTGCAAACAGGGCATTCAGCAACCATACAAAACTAGGGGAAATACTCACTTCTTCAGAAGATTGAGAATCCCAATCTGTGTTTTTTCTTGCTGAGTTATGGAGGCACACTGGAGGCCAAGAAGGGTGGTTTCAACCCTCTGAAGGGTGCCCTCCACATCTTTGAGATTTCTGAGAGTAAAGGTCATCTCACCCAAACAGTGCAATAAGTTGGCACTGTTTCTTGCATTGGCTTCTTTTCTTATTGGGAAAAATAATCACAGAGAATGTGTTTTAATGAGGACTCTATATGTGTAACATCAAGAAAATTCTGAATGTTATGATTAGAGCTGAAACATACCAGAATCAGATAGGACTGGAGATGGAGGCTGTTCTGCACAAGATGAAGACTGTGCTGCTGATCCATACAGGTACTCGGTTGTTACCAGTCGCGATAATGGGACATCTGCAGGTGCTGCATGGGTCAACATGGGATCAGTCGATGTAAGAGAAACACCAGACAGTGAAGGCATGCTGGAAGTGATAACGATGATGATCACTGTGGGAAGTGGGCCTTACATAGGCCGAAAAGAAAGACCCTCCTGTCACAGTGGACAAAAGTGTGACAAGTGCAGGGTCTGCAGCCAAACAAACCCGAATTGGGGTTGGGTGCAAGAGGTGACCAACTGAGCATCCGCTCATATAAAGCCCTGCCTACACTTAATGAAAAAAGTGCTGGCTTTATGATAATAAAAAGACATGGTAACAGGAATGATTCCCTATCATGAAGACTGTGGACTTATACACATTGATCTATAGGCAGTTGCCTTGTTATTATGATAACTAATGGTAGCCACTAGTGCTCTTTGGTTGTGCTGTGCTCCTGCAGTGACCTTGCCAAGTGATGTGGCACTGACAGACCTCTCCTCTGCCCTGCACCTTCTCTTTCATGGTCTTCTCAATGGGTTTTGGGGAGGTCTTAGTCATGCCCCACTGATTCCTGCCGGACTCCAGTCATTCCTGCGGATTCTGGTGCCATTCCAGTGGAATTCAAACAGAGACTACTGTTGACAGGGGTCTGTGCACATTTCCAATTGGCTGTTGTCAGATTCAGGGTACATATCCAAAAAAGGAAATTTGGGTAATTCTACTAAAAGAATAGCAGAAAGTTCACAAAAAATAAAGTTGGTATATGCAGTGTATACACCATGAGGCACTGCCTTCAGGGTCCATGTCAGGGTCCTCTACATATACTCCCAATAGGAAATGTAATCTTGTATGATGTTCATACCATTTTTTCCCTTGTTCAGGACAACATCCTTCCCCTTCTTCCCCCCATGTCTGGGCTTATTAACAACCATCTCATCCTCCTGCTCAGCCAGAACTTCTTTCTCTTCCTCCTCCCCTTCCCCCTCCTGACTCTCCTCCTCCCCTCCTCCTCCCTTCCCTCTCCCCTATCTACCTCCAGATCAGCCTTGGATGCCTTCTTCTTTGAGTTGGATCTTAATCTCTTCTTGGGGGTCTGATCAGCAGCAGATCCCTGCCTCTTCCTGGCTGTAGAGGTGGCAACTGAAGTAGATTTGGTGGTGGCTCTGGTGGTTGGCATTGTGAAACAGTAGCAGTGGTGGTGGTGAAACAGTGAGCAGTGGTGGTGGTTATAGGGCAAAGGGCAAGAAGAGGCAAGAACACCAGATATGGCATGCATACAAACACAACAACATCTCATCAGGCCACACTTCAAAATTCTAAAAGATATTGTATTCAATGCTACCTATGTAAACCAACACAACTTAATGTAACTATGTATCTTCATAATGTAACTACATACATGTATAATGTACAGTCGACATTCTCACAATGCATAACGCCGGTCCCCAGCTTTTTCTATGCATTGTGGGGTTATATGCAAGGTGAAACGTGTCACAAAGTGTGACTATTTGTGACCTCTGCTAAAAATGTCACGCTTCCAAAATCATTATGTAGCAAGGCGAAAACTAGAGTATTTACATGGTATCGACATCCATGGGGGAGCAACTATCATTGAAAAAAGAGTCAAGAGATGTTTGTTGGAAAGAATTTGCTTGCGAAGTGTTTAACGACCTCTTCTTGCGAAATGGGTTGATGGGAGTCGAAATACTGCACAACTCCGAGCCAGTCATGGAGTGTGAGGTGTTCTCGAACCGTGCTAGGCTTACTGATGGCCGAGGTTCGAGGGGTGTCACTGTTTTTTGGAGGACGAGGGGCACGAGGTGCATACGGCCTGTGCCCACCTCGAGGTTTCCATTTCTTCTCTTGGGCTGCTGGCATGGAAAGGGGTGTTGGCGAGTTTGGAAATTATGCTCAAGGGGTGTATTCGTGGCACATAGGCAGATCAGGGTAGATTTTGGCCCCAAAAAGTCAGGTACCATGAGGTGAACAAGTAAATACCCGGTGAATCTGTAGATTTGGTTGTGCATAATCCCAAAATCCAGTATGCATTATTCAATACGATATTTCATGCATAAATCCCTGCATATACCATTGACCAGCTAGTTGCACTCCAAGTAGGAACTTAGGAGGTGGACAGTTGTAATCAATTAAAGGAGATTTCTTCGTGGTCAGAAAAGTACAGTGTGAACGAAGCCAGCGTGCTTGGGAGTCAACTTACTTGGAGACTTTTGAATAAGAAGTTTTAAAAACACAGTATCATTTAGACGAGACAGTGTACTCGTGCCCTTAGTTTTGGAGCGTAGTGACATAATAAAAGCTCACGGGAGTCATAAAAGTCAATTGAGGTCGTGTTTTGTGTTAATAAAAGAAACTGTGATCAAAGAACTTTGCATTTAAGAGACCAAGTTCCCAGAAAGACATACTTTGTTCTATTGAACTATTCTAAACCACACCTTATAATAAAAACCCGTTTTGAGACGAAATCTCTTGAGACTTAAACCTAAGAAGACAAAAGTGGTATTTCTTAATACCAAAGGCCCTCGAACTTGTGCACTGAGATTGTGATAGTGTGTGTGTGTGTGTGTGTGTGTGTTTAGGTGTTTAGGGTTTTCCCGACGCGCTTGATCCTTGTTCGCGTGTTTCGCACTTTCACGGTCATCCCCGTGCAACGCGTATCACCGGCTAGAGCCGGGATTTAGAGCCTCATCAACCACACATGCTAGCTCATTCAAAACAAATAAAATTGGGTTTTGTTGTACATATTATTTAACTAGTAATAGAATATACTGTAAATGAACCTAAGATCATAGAAAATAGCTAAGAATTGCCTGAGACTCAGTCACCCCCTACCAAAACAGAAAATGCAACATATCTCCAGAACACAGACACGCAAACCTCTCGTCTCTTTGGGACCTTTAAACGACACTATAGTAGATTGTAAACGAGCCTTAGATCATAAGAAACGATGGAAATTTGACCAACCTAGTGTACTTGCCCCCCCCAAACAGAAAATGCAACATATCTCCAGAACGCAGACACACAAACCTCTCATCTTTTTGGGACCTTCAAATGACACTAGAATATGTTGTAAACGAGCCTTTAACAAAGGAGAATGATGGAGAACTCATGAAGATAGAGTACACCCTCCTGCTGAAACTTAGCATGACAGATCTCTCAAAAATATGATGGCAGATGCCTCTCGTCTCTTCAGGCCCTAAAATCGACAGCAAATAGCTGGTAATCAACACTGATTTGGTGGAAAACAGTACAGAACTCACTGAGATACAATATAGCCTCATGGTGTCTATCCAGCACCCATTACATGTTTCTTAGGGCTATTATTGGGCCATTCACGTGCCCATTCTTAAGTTATACTATGCCGAACTCATTTATAATTGGTGTGGTACACTACTTAAGTTTACGGTCATACATAGATTGGGGGGGAGGTGAAATGGGAAAGCAAAAGAGCATCTGTCGTGTCTGAAGCACTATATATACGAGGCACTTTAGGGCAGGCTTAGATGAGGAGCCTGCCCAGCACAACCCAACCAGTGACAAGTTCCTGGAAATGCATGTGAATATCCTTTTTTTCCTGTCTGGGCAAATGGCTGTTTCACAATATTTTGTGGGCAGTAGATCTGTCACCTTCCCTGATTACTATTTTCAGTACAAGGCTGCCTTTGAAGCTGGTATCTGGATGATGGAGGACCCTTGGCTGGGGAGGGCCATTGTGTGTAAATTACCAGTTGAGACCACGTGGACAGTCTAGATGATGGTCTGACCACAATTTTCAGTTGCAGCCAATATAAAGGGGGAGAGCTCTACTTGCTAGACCTCAAAGTCAAACTGGAGTAAGTGGCTGCTGCATATATCTCTATCTTTGCCTGAATTGCAGATAGGTATGACCCAAGGACCCTGGTCATTTTCCTGTCTGGCTGACTGTATCATCACACCAGAGAATGGGAGCCTGGCAGCCATACCCAAGAGAATAATGTCACTCCTGGATGGGTTGGAAACATGTTTTTCTTCCCCAAAGTCTCTTTCAACAAACTGAAAGGGGAACCCCTCTCTGGAACAAGAGAACATGATGGAGGGTGAAAATGTTGATGTGGAGGAAACCATAGATGACAATGAGGAAATGGTGGATCGAGTCAATGGCCTGGTTTGCAAAGGCTTGGAAAAAAGTCTCATCTCTGCCTGTAGGCCCAGAATTAAAGCACAATCTTTATTGTAGGGTGTGAGGACTCAGCAGGGCTGTGGTTTATAAACTGTATCTAAGTGGTAATGACTCTGAAATGCTGCCAGTTGCACTGGCTACTAATGCAGGAGACTATTTACCACTGAAATTGGGATAATATTTTGAAAGATTACAAGTGAGTAGGTTTTCTTAACAAAAAGTTGAATAGCAAGAGGGACAGGGGGAAGTATAATAGCTGCATGGCTATTTTTCATGGAAGTTGATAATAACAAATGTAGTAATTACAAGAAGCACAAAAGGCAGTTTTGATAGGAAAAAGTCGAATTAGTGAGGGACATGCAGGGTCCATGATATCCATGATTTTGATATCAGAGCAGATCTTACCATCCTGCTTGGTGGAAAATGAGCCAATGAACATCACAAAATTGGTGTTAGCCCTTCTCTTCCTAGTTCCTCTGGTGAAAAAAGCCTACCAGTTAGACTTGCATCAGGGGTATCAAGGGAAAAACTGTAATATCAACCTGACCTGTTGATGTGACTGGTTTACAGGGTCCTCTTCTCAATCAGGAACAGTGTTCAAGATCGATCACATGCATCTGCAGCAGGAGGTCCAAGATTCACCAAGTAAATGTGGCACTATGTAGGGGCAAATTGCTTTTGTTGCTAGGTGGCAAACAGTAAATATGTTACATGAAAGCAAAATGATAGATCACCCCAGACAAGCATAGGGTGGCCTCTCAAAATTTGTAAACAATGTGATGGCTGTAATAGAGTGAAGGACAGAGGCAAGGAGGTTACCAAATAAGGAGATTATTTGTCAGCTTATCTCTTTATATAGTAGAATGGTCCTAGTGGAGGAAAAGAATCTTACTATGCCTTACCAAATAAGGCAAATTTCCTTTTCTATCCATATGCAGGTTTTTTATTTCACAAACATGCTGGTACAGACTGTACAGCCCAGAAAATGTGTGAGTAGCATTTGAAAGTCCAGTCCGGTGTGGAAGTGCAGAGTGTACTACTCACGGCACTTCCTTTATTTCTTTATTTTTTATGCGCGCTAGTTTTTACGGTTTTTACTTTTTTATTTTAGTCTTTTACTTTTTTAGGATTCGAAGTCAAGATTCAGATACTCGAAATTGATTACAACTGCAGTGCGCTCAAACACGTCGAAGGACGACTTGCTGGATTTGATGACGTCATCTCCGTTTACCTTTCGATCAGCAATCTTCATAGGATCGGCCTTCAAACCTTCGTCTTCGTACGCTTGAATTTATTTTTTCTCCTTATTCGCTGTTATTTGTTACTTACGACAAATCCTTTTGGGGACCAAAACCGAGCTTTAGGACTGGATGGTAGGGTTGAAGCGTCGACAGCTGTGAAGCCCGCACTGAGGGGGGCAGTCGTGTACGCAAATAGGCCTCTCTCAGCGTCGATTAGCTCCCCGAGTTATTCCCAGTCCAACGGTTCGGCGGAGGAACTTGACGGGATGTGTCACAATCTATTTTTACTTTTATTCTTTTAATGTCTTCTTTTCTTTAGAACTTTTCTGGACAGGCAGCACGCGAGTACGTGCAGATGCCTTGTGATAATTATTTTTGTACTTAAGGTGTCCTCCCACCTCGCGAATTGAGCTTGATCTTTTTCCTCTCCAAGTATTGTCCCTCTTCTAAGATTTTAAGATTTTCAAGAACCCTCAAGAACGACGACGACCAAAAAGACTTCAAAATTCTCTGATACTCGCCGTAGACTCTCACGCCATCGCCTACAAGTAGTTTATACGACACACGCCTAAACACGTACTCACACGCTTAGACGCTGAGTGCCTCTTTCATCATTCCTTTGTCCCTTTTTCTCTCGTTCCTTTCTTTCCCCTCCTTATTTTGGTAGACGACCAGTTGCTGTCTCTTGCTGTTGAACTTTCGTTCTTCCACACCAGTCTGGTCTTTTCGTGCCCAGTGCCTTAGACCATAACCATAACTGGTCCTCCCAATTCCAGAAACTCCAGAAAACCAAACCAAACCGCAACAGACCAGTCTTTTGCGGTTACAAGACTGGTTTTAACCATCTCTGGTCTTGACCGGTTTGTGACTGGTCTAAACCAGTCTTCGTAGGGGTCAGGTGGCTATGAAACAATAATATTTTATGTATGAGGGCTACACAACTTGGTACATAGTGATGTGCACAGGTGACCACAGGTGTCTCCACATTTATGTGTCAGGGGATCAAAATTCCCATCACTACTGTTTCTAAGGATCAAATTTGTTACCAATCTATTCCCTTCACTTCTGCAGGTTTGGACCTGCATCAGATATGATTTCCGTCACTTGGATATGTCAAACGCCACCAATGACATGTTTCTCTGCCGTTCGTCTTTTTTTCTTCCTCCCTGTTTATACCAGCTAGACCTTTGTACCCCGGACATGAATTCATAAATTTGTCAATATGTATACAGAATGTGTTGAACAGTCAACAGCCAGTATTCACAATCATCCAACATGTGTGAACCCTCCATCGGAGTCAGTGCATGCACTGTGCAGTGGTCAACGTGATATCAACACAAGTACACATCCGGTCACGTGTTTGTTCAACCTCACGGATAAGTACAAGTTGTCTGCACAGAGACGACTTACTTAGTCTATGTACTTGCAAACTCTACAGTTTGTACACCAAAATGCATAAATTACTACAAGAAATACAAAAGATATTTTACACAAGAAATACAAGAGATACAAAACACAAGAAATACAAGGGGAACTCGACACAAGAAGTACAAGATATTAACAATCATTTATTGAATGAAGATAAAGATAAAAAAAGAGCCATACCAACACATTATGAGGCCATTGACTATGGTGCCGCACCAACATCAACTTTAGTACTTACGTTGCTGCTAGAGGTGTCGTTGGTTGGGATGGTGGAGCTGGGCCATGACCAATGGGGGTTCTCGTTGGGCCAGATGGTGGTGTACCATGAGGGGCGAGGGGAATGTGGTATGGATTGGTCAAGCTGGGCTGATTGAATGAGATGGCAACCATCAGGCGCAGCTACTGTTGGTGTATCTGTCAAGGTTGAACATTCTTCGGATGGCTGATCATGTTCGTCTTGAGGCTTTTCAACCTGCTGCTGTGTCTTGTGGCCAGTTCCCCACCATTGCCGGAATTGTTGTCATCATTGCCTGCCTTTTCTTTGTCCAATTCTTCCTCATCATCATTGTCATTGTCGTCCTTGTCGCTGTTGTCCTCGTCATCCTCGTCTTCATCATCATCAGACACCACGAATGTGTGTATCTTCTTTTGCTTCTTCTGCTTCTCACTCTTCCTCCCATATTTTCCTTTGACACTTTGCTTATGTTTCCTGCCAGTGTGTGCACTTAACTCCAACTCCGAGGCCTTCGGTGCACTGGACAGTAAGGGCGCTTGAGAGGTATTGGATGGTGAATTCATGGGATGCAGTGCATCGTCTTGAAGGGAATCCTTTTCCATGGCGTGCACCCATTGTTCTTCTGGTGCTGAGACAGTATAATATGAGTAAAAGAGTTGCACGAAAACCTAGTGTACTTCCAATAGCATGTTTCCAGAAATGCAGTGAATGCATTTGTTACGAGCTTGTAGCCGGCCTTATCCGCATGATCCCAGACTTTCGGAACTGCCTGCTTGTCCACCCCATAGTGCATGCTACATACACGATAAGTCGTTGTTGAATGACCTAAGGAGCAGCTTGCCTACGTACCTGATGACATTCAATTGTCCCTGCCTTTGGGCTCTGGCCCCCCAATGAGGACTGTAACATGCATCCCAATTGCCTCGCCCACCCCTTCTAATAATGGGCCCAAGAGACTTGGGAGTGCGTCAAAAACTCTGGCAAAGATGTCAGCCCTTGCGTAATTGAAAAGGAGGGAAAAAAATTTACTTCTGGGCGTCAGCTGGTTCGAGTAACCTTGGCATCGAACCCCACTCCTCGATGAGCCGCTTTGCTTCTTCCCACTCTGAGCGAACAACTTCGGACCATTTATCCTTTTTGTCCTCGCTGAGTTTTGCAAATTCTTGCTGCTTGAACTTGTTACACTCCTTGACGCAATTTTTCTTGAGTCTGTTCGCAGGCTCAAACTCTGCATCGAATCTAGCCTTCAACGATTGGAAGTTGTCTTTACCCCAGGCCTCCCAACCTCTGTAGAAGAATGGAGATGGGGTCATCTTTTTTGGCTGAGTTGGACCATGGTAGAGCAGGAGCAGCTTTCGTCCGGTGATTGTACCATTTATAAATCATTTACTGAGTGGAAGCATTAGCATATCAGGAAGTGGCTTTGATCCATGAAGGCCATACACACCTTTTTCATGGCTCCGATAATGTTTCCCTTGTGAGTGGCTTCCTCAGCATGATAAAGGCATCCCAGCTAAACTGACACTGTGAGCTTTTGTCTTTTTTTTTTTAATGTCAAATTTATAGTCTATTGGGGCGAGGCCCCATGTCAGACTTTACAACTTTGTAGACTACCTAAGGCCCCTAATGCCTTATACCTGACCCCCGTTGACTGTCCCCTGCACTGGTGAAGGCACGCCCAAGGCATTCATTCCCCCACACAGCCCAGCACAGAAACACCGTTTGGGAACACATCCGTATGGTGAGCAGGGTAGTCTCATGTCCCTCTGCTTATCTGATGCAGTCTGTATGTGATGTGTTTCTTCTTCCAAGTACCTGATCACAAAGTGAAGGGTACAGCTAATATGGGATGAGCGTGTTCAGGTGAATGAAAATATTGTTGGTGTTTTGTTGCTGTTTGCTTGAGTGACTGTTTGACGTGGTCAGTCTGACTGAGTGTGATTAGTGCTTGAAGTCCGCAAGCTGAAATGCAGGTAAAATATAGAGTGGGGTTTTTAAGGGCAAACCCACCGACAGAATGTCGGCTAATCTGTCCATGCTTCGTTTCTGTCGAATGAGCTCTTGAAGCCGCCAGCATTTCTGTTGCACCTCCTAAGTGTACTAGCCGCTCATCCACTTCCTTCCTCCCCCCTGGTCCTACTGTTTCAAGTAGCCATCCACGTATCAACTGTGAGCCTGCAGTTACTGCCACAGGTGAAGAAACTGGTGAGGAGAGTAATGGGGAAGATCATGAGGAGAGTGATTGGGAATATAGTGATGTTGGTGAGGCTAAAGGTAATACTTGTTTTATAATTGTTGTTTCATTTGTTTATTTTTTTTTAGATGTTGATAAATCTACGAGCCATGATCACTTGGTCGAAGGTAATATTTCAATTTTAACTGGGTCAGTTCAGCCATTTATTATACTTGTCTAGCTATTGATCTGTCTGCGAAGGAGAAGGAGGTTGTTCAATTTGGCCCACCAAGAGGCCGTTGTCAGGCCAAGTCCGGTTCTAATCATCCTGAGCCCATCACTGAAGGTTTTACTTATTTTATTATTGTTGTTCCATGTACTTGTTATTTTTTCTAGATGTCGATAAATCTACAAGCCATGATCAGTTGGTCAAAGGTAATATTTTGGTTGAATTGGTTATTTCAGTGGTTTGATAGACTTGTCTAAATATCAATATTTCTGGTCTTGCACCTCCTGAGCAGGAAGAACCTGTTAATGGGTCTTCACATTCTACAGGAGGTGTGTTGCGTGGGTGTGCTCTTGGGAATACTTTCAATATAGGTGATCCTGTTGGTGATGTGCCCCAAGACATCACACCTCTTGCCAATGGCTGAATTAATGTTATGATTGTGCAACAACCCCCTTCAGATGCTGTCATTGAGAATGCTACCTCACTTCTGAATGTCAGATCCCCCTGTTATGATACTTTGGGCCCAATTCTGAAAAAAAGTTGCAAAGTCCTATTCTCCTGTGCGCAGTGAGTACTTTATTATTTATAGATATAGAATGTGTAATAAAGCTTTGTCCCAGAACACAATTATCATGTCTATGTTTTAGATCAGAAGCAGTGGTCTATCATGGGGTGTTACAATGTTGTAGTTGAGGATGATGAGACTGCTGTTTGGGAGGAGGATGAGACTGGTAAGGTGACACATATTCTTCTGGTAGGTTTTATTGCTTGTTCTTGATTTCAGTTTAGCTCAAATTATATCTAGGAAAAGGACCACAAGGAGGTGTTTGCCTCTGCAATCTCCCCATTGTTCCATTGGCACTCTACTTCTATTGGTTCTCACTCAGCATCTGTTCCTCGTTGATACGGGTGAAACATATTCAACCGTATAAAATCCGATTTTCCCGATTTTACCATTAAAATTGTCTTCTCTGTACATACAGTATATACAATTGCAATGATATAAGAGTCTTTAAACATACCCGGTTCAGTAGACTAAAAGTGCATATGCGTCGAGTCTGAACATAGGACTAAGGCCTTGGAGCTGGCAGCAGTATGCACCATGACATTATACTTGGAGCCTATCTAGGATTCACCCACCATGAAATAGAGTATAAAGAAGCTCTAGAGTAAACCACCCAATGCAGGGACAAGATTGCATTACTACCAAGGGTTTAGAAACATGTAATGGATTTTAATATGGAAACTCGGACTTTTATCCTGCGATAATACTTCCAAGACTTCTAGAGGATAAACTACATGTGGACATTATGAAATAATGTTCTACTACTAGAAAGACTATACTGCGACTATGTAGTATATGTATGAGGACCAAGTGTGGCTTGCGGCCATGTAAAACATCAAGTACGGCAATACCCGTGTACACATCAAAGAGTGATGTGTCGTATCGTCCAAGACACGTGATGCGCAAACCGGGAAAGACATTAGGTAATCCATCCTGGAGACCCCCTGATAATTAAGAAAGTCATTTGAAGCTCTTCGGAGTGCCATCCAATCTCCATATGATAACAGAAACCGTGCCGAGGTATTTTAAATTAACGACCTCCGGAAATAAAGAAGCCGGCAGTGTGTCTGCATACATATCAAACACATCAGCACGCCCATCACTGAAATGACACAATATGTCAAATTAGTAGCCGAGCCCATGAGAAAGAAGCATGCAGAACTGGTCCGGACTAGATATAATTAAAACCAGATTGTTCCGTGTACGCATCAAACACTGATGCAATTGACAAAGAAAAGATACCAACACTACAAAAACTGTAGTGTACCACAAGAGAGACACTATAAACTATACCACATGATCATTAAAAAGCTATTTGTATTTCAGACTGATACATAACCATAGAAAACACATTTAAAAGCATAGATAGGGGTTTTTGGAGTATATAAGGAGCGCACTGGCAGGTCAAAAGGAAGGAATCATCCCCCGTTGACCAGCTAGTTGCACTCCAAGTAGAGACTTAGGAGGTGGACAGTTGTAATCAATTAAAGGAGATTTCTTCGTGGTCAGAAAAGTACAGTGTGAACGAAGCCAGTGTGCTTGGGAGTCAACTTACTTGGAGGCTTGAATAAGAGGTTTTAAGCACAGTATCATTTAGACAAGACAGCGTACTCGTATCACCAGTTTTGGAGTGTAGTGACATAATAAAAAGCTCAAGGGAGTTATAAAAGTCCGATAAATCCATGTTTCGTGTCAATAAAGAAAACTGTGTTCAAGAACTTTACATTTGAGCAACCAGGTTCCCCGAAAGACATACTTTGTTCTATTGAACTATTCTAATACCACACCCCATAATAAAACCCCGTTTTGAGACGAAAACTCTTGAGACTTAAACCTAAGAAGACAAAAGTGGTATTTCTTAATACCAAAGGCCCTTGAACTCGTGCACTGAGATTGTGATAGTGTGTGTGTGTGTGTGTGTGTGTGTGAGTGTTAAGGTGTTTAGGGTTTTCCTGATGTGCTTGATCCTTGTTTGCGTGTTTCGCACTTTCACGGTCATCCCCGTGCAACGCGTATCATCGTTCTTCTTCTGTAGTTCATCTGAGGTGTCTGGCCCTTCTAAGCTTTCTAAAGAGCACAAAGCTCTTCTTCTGGACTATCTTGGGATTGACAGGGACCTTGCCTTTCTGGAATCATCTGGGTTATGCTCATCATACCAGAAGTTTAAGGCTATCGTAGATTCTACTCCTAAAGTTATGAGCTTGGGCAAGGATGAAGAGTGGAAGGCACAGTTTGATGGTGCAGCTGTCTGGGTCCCCAACCTTGTCACATTCATTGAAATCTTCATCGCCAAGTCCCAGTTCTATCAGTTTGGGAGGCCACTTTTTCTACGAGCACAGGAATATCTTGAGATGCGAGACTGGCTTGATGAGGCAGAGGATTGCCTTTCCACTAAAGATTTGTGGGAGATAAAGGGTAGTTGAAATCTGGGCTTTCCTGACTTGAAGAAGTGGCTTGAGAAGAAAGATCGGGAGGTAGAGATGAAGAAATGTGATCAGAAGGGAAAGAGGAAAGCTCCAGACAGCCCAAAGAAAAAGAATCATGGCACAAATCAACCAGTGGTGCAGAGAAAGCACAAGAAGGTTAAACAGGCAAGGGATTCAGAGGAGGAGGAGGAGGAGGAAGCTTCTGAGTAAGTAGTGTTGTGACTTGTTTTGTTTCTTTTTTAGTGTGGTTTGAGTTTGGACAAAGAAAACTGATTTGTACAATAGTTCTACTTTTTTTTTCAGACTGGCTTTCTTGTTTTTGTCATCAGTTATCTCTCTTGTACTGCAGCACTGGATTCTAGTCTGGCTTTTCATCTGGTCAAATCTACTTTTATGTGCATCTGCCACCCCTCCAGTGCAACAACCATTTCCAAATATTCCATTTAGTACTTTCAGTGACACAATCCATATGATCTTTGGCTCCAATATTTCCTTGGCCTCTGTTCTTGCAGTGTCATTCACATTATTTGAAAATCCTGATCTATTGAATCTTCATTTTCGTCAACAACAACGGATATATGGAGATGAAAAAAAAGTTCAGATTTCAGGATGGATAATTGCATTGATCAATGCCCTAGTGGACAAACTTGGAAACAAGAGAACTGAAACTTTATTCTCTGAAAATGAACTTGCACGAAAGCCAGATCAGAAGGCAAAGGTTGATCTTCTTGCTGTAAAGCTTGACAAACTAGCTGGCTGTCTAAAACTATCAACATTTGATGAGAAGGGAAACTATAAAAGAAAATTACTTCCTCTATCACATAGTAGGATAGAACCAGCTTATGTCATTTGTCCCCCTTCATTTGCATGTCAAACTCAAGACTGTAGTCCAAGATCGTTGCGTCAATCCACCAAAGGTTCTGACATACCCTTGGTTACTTTGATCAAAAGGCAGACAGTATACCAACATGTACCTGTGCTTACTGGAAAGTGTCCAAACTGTAAAACATTATATGCAGCCGATCATGAAAGATTCAAAGATACATCAACTGTTGAGAATACTTTCAAACGAGTCTATATCAACTTAGCCAAATATTTGAAAATTGGCCAATCAATCTGGGTTGATCGTGGGTTTGCACTGGCAGCTTTAAATGCTATGTATAATTTCCATGCTTCAGCATCTGCATTTTCAGAATACTGGAACAATACATATGGAACAAGAGAAGTTTCAATTACACGTGCTCATGTCTGGCAAGCATTTGTACAACAATCTGTTTGCACAATTGCTGAGGAATCTGAAATTGATGCAGAATTTGATGATGGATTAAATATCAAAGAAGTTACTACTCAAGCATTTTCACTCTTGGGGGAAGATGGAATATCAGAGCTTCAGAGGATCATGCTTGTAATGAGTGTACTCAAAAATGCAAAGATACAAGTGATGTGGTTTTTAATAATCCAGCAGCTGTTGTTGGTGTTGATGCTACAGATGAAGATATTCCTGCCTTGGCAGAACCTCCTGAGGACATGGAAGTTGATGCACCTCGGGTCCCTTCAGATGATAACATGGATACTGATGATATCCCAAATATAAAAATGGTTGTTCTTGATGGTATAGTCATGGGTCCCCAGGTAAATGAATTACCTTTAGATTCTTGTCATAGAGTTTGTTTGTTCACAATTCACTTTTTTAGCACTGTGCATATGATAATTACACAAATGACCTTTCTAACTCTTGTGGTGGATCTCTATGTGATATACATCACATAGAGCTTGCTTCTAAATGCTTAGTCCATGGTTGTAATAACAGGAGAGTAGAAAGGACACTTGCATGCCAACAGCATGAACCACAGTGGCGTAAACATGCAAAGAACAACAAACGCCACAACCAAGCTGGAGTCCATCGGATGTTACAACGCCCTGGGGAGAATAACCCTTGGGAGCCAAATCATAGAGGACCAAATCCCCAACAACATGATGATCCAAATGCAGAACCATGAGAACCCCCCAATTACTTTTGTGCAGGTAGATTCTATTGTGTTGAGACTGTTTGTGCACCTTGTGGTGTTGTCATTGCTTGGACAAAGTTTGATAAGTCAGAATCACCAACAAATATTTTGAACTGGCTAGGAAAGATTTATCCAACAGAAGAATCAAGGCCTGATTATATCTGTATTGATAAAGGCTGTCAAGTACTTGCAACCGCAGTAGCAAATGGAAGTTGGGAGATTTGGAAAAAAAACTACTCGATTTATTGTGGATGCCTATCACTACATCAATCATCGAGTAGCAGACTTCCTATGCCGGAAATATTGTAATCCTTAACCTGGTGATGGATCTGCTCCAAATCTGGTAGTCATAGCACATGATAAGAATGGAAGGCCATATGTAAAGCAGGCATTCAATACACAGGTATTTATTCATATATTTTTCTGAGCTTGATACTAAACATATTCTAGGTTTGTGAACAACTCAATGCATGGCTTGGTGTCTATCAATCAATTCTCAAACGTATGACACCAGGCAATTTTAACTGGTTTATACACACCATGTTATTCTACCACACAAAGTATGTTCTCCACAAACAGCAGATGAAGAAACCAGAAGAAGGTGAGGAGGATAACTTGGGTTTAGATGAAGAAGTCCAGGATGATGAGGATAATAAATGACAGCAAAGGGAAGTGTGAAGAAGTGTATATTAGTGTAAATTCACCAGATTCCAGTTCCATTCCTGTGGATTCCGGTCCCATTCCTGCGGATTCCTGTGGATTCCTGTGGATTCCTGTGGACTCCTGTGGATTTCTGCAGGAATGGGTGGGGCACTATAAAGTACTGGGGATGGGACCTGGACCCCGATACAGTCAGTGTCTAGAATGCTTACCTTTGTGCTGCCTGCAAGGAGGAGAAACCCCACATGTAGTGTTTGCAAGTCCAGTCTATAGGACTGAAAATATACATAGGACCAAACTGGACTGAACCACAGTCTGGTCTTTTTCCAGTTGCAGTTGCCCACATTTGGGGTCAGTCCAGTTACCAGTTGCCATGTTTTTGTAACTATTTAAAAACCAAAAAAGACCAGTTTAGATGAGTTGCAACTGGTCTTTCATCCTACCACATGTTGGACTTTACTCACTCACATTTTTACTTAATTTTCAGCCCCTGAATCATCAAAAATGGTCAAGAATTGGTTGAGATATGGCCAAAAACAATTTTGTACATGTATTTTTTTGTAGATTTAAATGACCTATAATTATTCTATGTACAGCTATATGACATCATAAAAATGACAACAGCACACATGACCATTTGTACCATGTGACTTTATTTATTTAACATCCCAAATGAGTTGCAACTACAAACTGCAATTTGAATGTATGTCCTTTCTGTTTTCACCATATCTCAGTCAAATCATAATGGAATTGCTTAAATTTTTGATCAGTCTACAGATAATTAAATTATCTATCCACATATGCAATGTACACAAGGTAATATTTAGGGTATCTGGCACAATAAATTTTACAGCAAAAGATCAGTCACAACTGGTCTGGACTGGTTTTCTTTCACATTGTGGACTGATTAGGACCAGTCTAAAGGGGTCCGGTTGCAGTCCCTTAATATCTAGATTGGTCTGGACTGGTTGTGGTTGCCAGTTGCCTCGTTTTGAGGTAAAAAACCAGACTAGACTGGATTTTAAAACACTACCCACATGGGCATGCTAACATCAATGTCCAATTTGTCATCAGGTCAGTTTCAATCATTGGCTAAGCTGACATCTATACTTATAGAGCTTCGGATATTGGAGAAGAGGAGCTGCAAAATGAACTAAGAAGAGAAGAGCAGGATAGACACACAACGTGCAAGAGGACAAACTTTCTGGCTTTGAGCAGAAAACCAGTGAGCTTTGATGCTAATGGTGAGAGTGTGTGTCATCGCTGAGCTCTTATTCTCCTCAGTCAAGTTTACAATCACCTCTTGAATGCATACATGAACATTCAACTTTCACTTCATGAGCAGCTTGTGCATCTCAGTGCTGTTGCCTAGGGACTGTCATGGATACACCCAGGTATTATCCATACCCGATCCATGGATTTTCCCACCCATGGATCAGATAAGGCACAATCTGGGTATATCCGTGGGTAAAACAGCCTGAGCTGTAGTTTCAACTTAGACAAATGCACATATCTCATTCATTTCTTGTCTGTTCTCGACGAAAAAAATTGTGTTACAAGGGGAAAATTCAGAACAATTCAGATTCAAACTAAAGCCATTCGCATATTATCTGGATTGAGTAGAAATACATTTTCTTTGAAAATAAAATCACCAATTCAATCACTTCTCATAGAGTCTTTGACCATGTCACTGATAACAGAAAATGCTGAAACATGGGTATTTTGGCCCATGACCCTACTGCAATTCGTGCTTTGAAGGTCTGTGAATTCATGTTATGTTGCATGAAAGATACTTGTCATCGCCCTGTTGAAAATGCACACTCTGCATCAACAGATGTTGCTGTTGAAACAAATGAGCTAGACATTTACATGTGGGATGTAAAAAGAACACACCTGGTGCTGAACAAAAGTCTTGCCCCATTCGAGAGAGAATAGGTCAGTTGTCTCTTGCATGGAACCAATATTTCATATAACCCCCTGCTTCACGAATTGTGGCCCATGACCCTACTGCAATTCGTGCTTTGAAGGTCTGTGAATTCATGTTATGTTGCATGAAAGATACTTGTCATCGCCCTGTTGAAAATGCACACTCTGCATCAACAGATGTTGCTGTTGAAACAAATGAGCTAGACATTTACATGTGGGATGTAAAAAGAACACACCTGGTGCTGAACAAAAGTCTTGCCCCATTCGAGAGAGAATAGGTCAGTTGTCTCTTGCATGGAACCAATATTTCATATAACCCCCTGCTTCACGAATTGCTGTTGTCGAGACTGTATCATCCTTCAGATATGTTTGAATATGATCCATAGGGTACTTGTATGTTCCAGAAGATGATTGTGATTCATCCCACTTGGACTGGATCTGTTTTCATAATCAACGGTTAAGTTTCAACTACTGATATCAATAAAAAAATAACATACCTTTTTATCCTCAGTCCTCTCTGGAACTACATCTTCATTTGGTGCATATGATGCATTCCAACGATCAACAACTATTTTCTTAATCTGGCATATCCTTTGTGCAGATAGCTTTTGGTCCTTGAACCATGCCATTTTGCGATCTGGGCACATGACTAAATTGTTTCAAGTAAGTAGATAATCAGAGTTTAAAAAAAGATTCAAGCTTACTGATTGCAATAACATAAATTTCACAGTCCCAAAGATGATCCAGATATTTGTCAATCAGCTGAACACTTGCATATGCAGCAATTCAGATAACAGCTGGAGTTGGTCTTGCTGAGAAATCATCATCTGAGTCATTACCTTCATCATTATCATCAACAACTGCAGGTGTGTCATCCACAATAGCAAGCAGGCTCTCTCACAGATTGTAGAGCATACTTGTGAACCATGAATCAATGTTGCAGTCTGTAAAGGTTCGCATCTGAATTGCAATTGAGTTTAAAGAAGTAAGTAAGTTCTTGAAATCGAATGGTAACTCTGTTCATATGTTTGAATATTCCTTATTCAATAATAAGTCCAGGACTCCTGAAAGTGTATCAAATACTAATTACCAATAGAATAACCTATTCTGTCAGTAATAGAGGTAAGATGGATTTATACAACTTGTATAAATGTATCTTAAGGATTCTTAAGCACACACAAATTGTGGGGTTAAATCAATGGATTGTAAAAGGTAAAAATACGACATTCAGTCTTTAAGGCTTATATACACCACCAAATAGTCAACATGTGAGAGAAACATGGGCAAAAAACCCTGTCCATCATAATTCGGCAGCTGTCGGACATGCTGATGGGACCTTTTCTCAACAGTCATTACTGCCCAACGACAGTGTGTCTCCAGGTTGATGTTGACGACAGGTGTAGTTCAGATATTGATAACAGCTGCAGGGCCAGGTGGATGTCCGGCAGCAAGTGTGCTTCAGCCCACATATTCCATGGCATTATCAACAGCTTTTAGCTAGACCTGTAGAATTCATCTAGGTACATGTTTTCATTTGGTAGATAGTCAGATTAATTCAAGCTTCATGTAGGCATCTGCAACACCAATCTTTTGCAAGGATCCATGTGCTCATTTATTGAATGGGAAGAGATAACAACCAAAAATTAATTATTGGGGGCGACGACACAGAAATTATACACAAGATAAGGAAGTAAGAAGTGACTCTGTAATATAAGAACTCACAGGCCACATCTGTGCCAGGTGTGGATTTGTAGTTAGTGCTTCCTGGATGGCCCGTTTCACTGTCTTGAGGGCAAGCGGGGGAGGGAAAGGGCCGTTCATCAATGGAGGGAGGAGACCGTCCGTCGAAGGCAGGGGGAGACCATTCGTCAAAGGCAGGGGGGAGACCATTCGTCAAGAGAAAGCAGTTCGTTGAGAGAAAGCAGTTTGTCGAGAGAAAGCAGTTTGTCGAGAGGAAGCGGTTTGTCGAGAGAGGAAGCCATTCATCAAGAGAGGAAGCCGTTCATTGAGAGAGGAGACCATTCATCAAGGGAGGAAGGAGGCCGTTTGTTGAAGGCAGGAGGAGGAGGCCGTTCATCAAGGAAGGAGGAGGCCGTTCGTCGGGAGGAGACCGTTCATTGGGAGGAGACCATTCGTCGTGAGGAGGCCGTTCATCAGGAGGAGACTGTTTGTTGTGACGAGGCTGTTCGTCGAGAGAGGCCGTTCATCAGGAGGAGACTGTTTGTTGTGATGAGGCTGTTTGTTGTGATGAGGCTGTTCGTCGAGAGAGGCTGTTCGTCGAGGGAGAGAGGAGGCCGTTCATTGAGCGAGGGAGGAGACCGTTCAAAGACTGTTTGTCAAGAAAGGAGGCCATACGTTGATGTGTTGGGAAGGAAGAACAATGAATTTCCGTGTTGGGAAATTCAAAATTCAACATGACCCCATGATGTCGGAGTTTGAATGGACTTGAACGAATTGCAGCACATTTTTCACTGTTCTTTCTATAACTGAAGTGTACGGACCTCGTTTTGGCAACATAGCTATATTTTTGTGCAACTAATGTATATATAAAACTGTCTCTTACAAATTGGCAGTGTAGTCCAAGTGTAGTCAATGTGCCAATGATATGGTGAGGCCAGCTAGTAATGGATGTTGTAGGTACATGGTGAGGAATGTTCAGGTTGCCTGTACTGCAGGTCGGCGGCAAGTTTTTCGAATAGCTGCTGACAGACCAAGCTGTCGAGTAGATGTCAAGCAACAGCCATCAAGGGCCTTGTGCATGACATCAACACAGGCCAAATTTAGCAAGATGTGGGTAACATTGGTGTCACCTGCAATCTATATTGAGTGTCAGGGTGACATCCATCATTCCGAGTGATCTTACAGTCACATTTTTGACAGTTGGCGGTGTACTTCTACTCTACTACTGCTAGAACATTCCAGTGGTTCTATTTCCTTCATCTGAGTCACCTCGGCATCATATGACTAGTGCTTGAAGGTCTGGTTAATTAACCGGAAAATAACCGAGACCAGACCAGACCTAACCGCAAAAAGACTGGACCATGGTTAGTGGTTAGTCAATTCTGGAAATGAAATAACCGGTTATTTTGCAGTCAACTAACCGTTAAAAAACCGGTTATGACCAGTTAAAACAGACCCTATTATACCCCTTCAAAACGCATCTAAAAGCACGAGAAACGATAAAAATATAACAAAGTTATGGTCAAATTGCTAAAATATTGGCCAAAAGAGTATGCTTTCAAGAATATTATCATAGAATTGTCAATTTGTCACAGAATTTAGTGTTCTTGGGCTTATTTTAAAGCTATGATACATGGCAATAATGTTTACTGCAATAAATATGCTGTTTTAATCGATTTTCTATTTTTTTCGGTCCTAACTGGTTAGTAACTGTGACTAACTGTTTTTGGTTGGTTATCTTCGGTCCAGTTAGGTTATTTTGGGTCTGGGAACGAACCCTAACCAGTCTCAGTCTCGGTTAGAGCCCCTGGGCACCCAATAACCTAACCTAACCAGACTTTTAAACACTACATATGACTCATATGATGTATCTTCTTTGTCCTTTGATGCTTCAACTCAATCCTTGACGTCCTGGGTTCTGGCTGTGTCAGTGTAAAGTGAAAGGAGTCACACATTAGTGACTGTGATTGCAGCATGAGTGAGTAAGTGGAACGGGAGGCATCTCGTTCCTTCGTGAATCCTTAGACTAGTGCCCCTGTTTGGCTAACTGATGTTTGGTCCAACATTATTTAGACAAACAGCATCTTAATTAAACAAACAAGTATAACCTCGTGTCTATGGATGTGCTTCGTGTTTCAATACTACAGACTAATTGAGTAAGTAGGAATAGTAGATAGTAGTATCATAACACAGTCACTAGGGCAGTGGGAGAGCTGTAGGATACCCTAGCAGGCAAAGGTGTGAAGACTCTTGGTCAGACTAACAACCAGTAGCTCGGAGTTGTGAAATGTGACAGTCTGACGTTCCTGTATTCTGACCTCTGAGGACAGTTCCTCTGGAAGTTGTGTGATCTGTTAGAGATGAAGATCAACAACGCTGTATTCTCCTATTGCCTAAGAAGAGCCATTGGTAGGGCTTTGTGCTCAAGCAACTGGGGATTGTAGGTGTAGATAGATGATATTCCTCATGTCTAACACAAGGTATAAGTACAATGTAGTGTCACGTGATGTAATACAGTTAAGTAAATGAAGGTATATGTGAGCATAAGTATCGTGAACTGCGGATGTGTTGGGATATGGGAAAGTACCTAATTGTGAGAGGATAGTCAGTATATCAGGGACTCACTGCAGAACTAGCATGTTACAAGTCTTCTCTTTGCTGATTTTTCCATTTTGCATGATTTAGTTTCTGCTTCCTTGATTTTCTTTTTCTGTTGTTATCATGTTTCTGATGCTCTCTCAAGCTTGGATGTGTTGCTGTCCATCTGATTTCAAATCATTGTACTGTACAATCATGGGGTATCCGAAAAACCATGAGATTTTGTCAGAGAAAATAGTGACATCATACCTAATATAGTAATTCATATTCTCTGCTACTTACCCATGTAAGGAGTGTTGGTCTACCTGAAAGAAGAGCTCTCACTAATTTAGAGCCTCCTCATGTATCTTCCACCACTCATCAAGCCAAAGGGCTCAAATTCCATTCCCTTTGTTCATTTTGGGAGAGGATGCTTCAGAAGCCTAGCAAAACTTGTATTGTGTTCTCCATTTACCACAGGAGGACATTAGCTGAATCACTTCTGCACTGTGTGCAGTCTTTGATGCACTTTATTTTCCAAACTCAACTTCAGAGGATTTTAAATCTGTCATCAAAGCCTATCCCTTGCTCCAGTTCTTGGTTTACAGGTTTCTCACTCCCACAGGTCTATATTCTCCAATGGATCTCATCTCACCACACCTGGAAAAGATGCAGTATTGCATTCAATTACGCACAATATATCACATTAATCTTGAAGTTGAAAAGATGTCCATCAAGGATTAGGAGGGGTATGTTGTTCATTGTTTCTGGGGCATCTATGCCTGATTGTTGTAAAAGTATTGCAACATCCTTCTGCCACAAATACTTGCAGGGTTATGGTGGTTTTCCATTCTCAATCATTTGATACTGGCTCCACAAATTTAGTGTTATCGTCAAAAATACACCCCACCTAGCTTTGGTCTGGTGGTGCCAGGACACCCTTATCCTATCCAACAAAATCTCATTTCCTTCATACAAATTGCAGCTGCAAAAAAAACTTCTGCAACTGGAACAGTTCATTCTAGGGACTGTATTTTTTGGCATCTACTTGATGGATGAGCAAGATAAGTATGAGGATTTCACTTAGCTATGATGGCACAGCCCAGGGCACCGTTTGGCCACTCTGACTGTATTTCTTTGACTTTGGAAAGCCAATCTTTGGATGATAAGCACTCCTGAATATGGTACATACTCAGAGGTACAGTTTTCATCCTACTATATAGCTCTTTTTTAGATTCTCAATGTCAAAAAGCCATCTTTCCCTGGTCATCAAGCACTGTGGAAAATCATTAGTGCCAGCTGATAAATGGGGGTATGGATTTGGATAGATCAACTGCAAAGTAACATCTTTATTCCTATAGTCTTATAATGCATAGCTATTTTTTACCAAAATTGAACATAAAAATTGACATAATATTTAGAAGGACCACAAACAGAGTGACTTTGTTAGCAAAAAGTTGACCAGCTGCTTTTCATATTTTCAATTGAATACACCTAGAGTGAGGGACATGCAGAGTGTTATAATACAAAGGACAAAGGCAAGTCAACCAAATAAGGAAATTATTTGTCAGCTTATCTCCTCATATAGTAGAATGGTCCTAGTGGAGGAAAAGAATCTTACTATGCCTTACCAAATAAGGCAAATTTCCTTTTTTATGCATATACACTAGTGTTGCTGCAAGAAAAGGTGCCTTGGAGGCAAGGTCACCTTGATGCAATGGAAAAGGGAACTGTCAATGTCAAGGTGCATCAAGGTGAATGTGCCACTTTGGGGAAAAATTCTCATGGGTCAGTGGCATGGCTGGGCCACTCAGCCTTTCTTGTGATGTGCTTGTTGTTCTACATAGTGTTCGCAAGTTCAGTTCAGTCCGGTTTTTTGCCCCCAAAACACGCAACCATGGACTGCAATCAGTCTAGGACCAACCCAGATATTGAGGGAACCGAACTGAACCACCTAGGACCGGTCTTTTGTGGTCTATGAAGCCGGTTCAGACCAATCCAGACTGGTTTTTTTGCGTATAATTTATTATCTACTGGTCATCTCAGTTTAGGACCATTCACATGGCTAAGCTTGCAAAGCCTATCGAGCCCAAGTTCCAAATCTCATGGGATGAGTATTATGTGGCCGAAGTGGTGAGCCATTTGATTTCTCTGCATCCAGTCATGACTAACCTTGTTGCTTTGGAAAGGGCTTCATGATTGATAGTATTGGAATGGCCTTCGTTCATGGGAATGAGGTAAGCCATCCTGAAGGCTTTTTTTCTTGTGGTGTTGCACAATCCTTGGTAAGTGTGATGACCAGTGACATGCTGTGACATAGCGTCACAGGGCCAATTTCTTGAGACATGGACTTTGTACCTTCCACAACACCAATCCAATATATTTTTTGCAGTGGGTTTGAGGGAATGATGTGATTGAATCCACTGAGAGAGTTTTCCATGTAGATATTGCATTTATTGCCCCAAAAATGCGAAATCAGCTTGTTTTCCCTGCCAAATTTGGCACTCTGGAAAGATTGGACTATACCTTTCCAACCACAACACATATAAACATGGTTTGTGGGAGGATGTTACTTAGAATTTGAATTCCAATCGATGTATGGATTCAGAATTTTTATTTGTGGCCCCTATGTTGAGATCACCCCTAAGAATGGGCACTTTAACATAGTTATGAGGTAGTAATTAAAATTCTGGACCCGTAGGATTGAAGCCACATATTAATGGGTCATTTCCTCTCCACAAATCTAAGCCAAAATCCTATCCATTGTGATGCTGATAGCTTGAGTAGGCAACATTGGGCTAATAGGTGCTGCATAGCCACCAAAATCAGACACATTGTAAATTTTTATACATTTGAATAGAGGCTATCTATACAATTTGGGCGCATTTTTTTTCTTGTAAATCGGTGGAGAATTGACTGAGCTACATCATTTACAAGTTTGAGCTGTCGGGAAAAGCATCACCAGTCTGCCAAATTGGGAAGGTGCCTGTTTTGGCCACTATTAGCCCAATGTTGCCTACTCAAGCTATCAGCATCACAATGGATAGGATTTTGGCTTAGATTTGTGGAGAGGAAATGACCCATTAATATGTGGCTTCAATCCTACGGGTCCAGAATTTTAATTACTACCTCATAACTATGTTAAAGTGCCCATTCTTAGGGGTGATCTCAACATAGGGGCCACAAATAAAAATTCTGAATCCATACATCGATTGGAATTCAAATTCTAAGTAACATCCTCCCACAAACCATGTTTATATGTGTTGTGGTTGGAAAGGTATAGTCCAATCTTTCCAGAGTGCCAAATTTGGCAGGGAAAACAAGCTGATTTCGCATTTTTGGGGCAATAAATACAATATCTACATGGAAAACTCTCTCAGTGGATTCAATCACATCATTCCCTCAAACCCACTGCAAAAATATATTGGATTGGTGTTGTGGAAGGTACAAAGTCCATGTCTCAAGAAATTGGCCCTGTGATGCTATGTCACAGCATGTCACTGGTCATCACACTTACCAAGGATTGTGCAACACCATTTCTTGCTGACATTGGCCCCAGTTTGGGGTCCCCATGTTCCTTAGAAGCTGTATTCAGTGTGACCCACTTCACCCTGACGTGGCGATTCGAAGAGATTCTGTTTGGCCTTCATATGAGTTTCCATGGTGGACGACTCCTAAGAGCTATCCAAAGGAGGGAATCTACTACATGCTTAGCAAGTCAGCCAAGTGGGCTGAAGATGGTGCTTTGCCACTTGTGCGAACGAACCTTCAGACATCAAGCCTATCACCAAAGGATGGCAGCTGGCTTAAAGCACAATTGGAGCAAGCGCAGGAACTCATTGTGGAAAGGATTGAACATGCCAAGGCTGAGGTTGATTTCATGATGCAACAGATCAGGGATTGGGAAGATATTGTATTTTTGTCTTCCAAACTTGATGCTGAGAAGCTCTGGGTATGCCAGTGGCCAGAGTAGTTCTATATACATTAGATAGCCAGTATTGTATGAGTCAGCTTTTCTATTGTTTGCCATTGAGTTGGCATGACGCCAAGCCTCTCCCCAACATTTTTATGCCAGAAGTGAGCCAAACAGGCATGTTCACCGACAATGGGACAAACACCATGTGGTAAGACGTTGCCAGCCAGGCCCACAAGAGTTCCTGGGTCATAAAGGAGGCTGAATCCAAGTTACATCTCGGTGTCTCTCTGTTTATGATGACTGAAAGGCTGGTGAAAGGTGTACCCCACACTCCCAGAGCCATGCTGGTAGCTTCATCTTGCTGGCCGTCCTCGGCGAGCTGGTCAAAGACCACAAATCCTGACTCACATAGGTCAGGTTAAATGATGGAGTATATGGCAGAGATAACAGTGTTGATGAAGGAGAGTGTTTCAAGATAGATGAGGTTACTGGGCTGTTGGATATCGGAGGAAGGATGAAGTGGATCAGCAGGACCTTCATGTCCTTGGGAGAACCAGCTGGGTGATAAATTTATTATGCTGGTCGTGTTGCTACCGTGGTCGGGGTGTGTAACAGTGGTTTATACTTTACCTTGGCATGATATTGAATCATAGTAGTTACAATTGTTTGTTCCTTGTTTATATTGTGTTGTGACCCCTTCGTAGTACTTACCTTCTTACCATGACTACTCATAATACATGGATTGGGTTGTGGTAGTACTTCATCATGCCCCACTGATTCCTGCAGGAATGGAGCCATTCCACTGGAATCTGCGGAATGGCACAGGAATCCACAGGAATCCACTGGAATCCACTGGAATGGACAGGAATGGACAGGAATGGCCTAAAACACATATTTTGGAGCCTAGAGTATATTATGGAAAATTCCAAGCTTAGCTAGATGTCATGTGACTTAATCAACTCAGACCTTATGCTCATAACTTCTAAGAATTCTTTATGATATTTAGACTTGAATAGGGAGAATCACAGTGTATTTGATAGAACTACATAAATCTATTCTACTACATTGAGTGTTAAAGGGAGGGGGGAGGGAGGGAGAGTGATGGAGGGGAG